CTCGAGGTGAGTCCCGGCGAGCCTCCTTCCCTTCCGCGCTAACTACTGGGAGGAAGCGGGGTTGGGGGGCACGGGCCTGGACCCTTACTCCCTGAGGGACCCCAGAAGCGACTCCACACCCCAGCTCTTCGGGGGCGGCGAGCAGTGGAGGACCGCGGTCCGGCGTCGTTCTCCTCAGACCCCTCTCTGAGAAGCGCTCCCCACCGCGGAGGCTCCGGTCCGGCGGGGACAGACATGGGGGGCAGAGGAGGTGCCCGTCCCGTCTGCTGGGCCGGGCCTCGGGGCTGGGTCGGGGAGTCCGCTGTGGCTGGGGGAAGGTGTTTGGGGGCGTGGAGCAGAGCGAGGGGAGGTTGGGGAGCTCTTTGGGAGTCGGGAGGGAAGCGAGGGTGAGGAGGCGGGGAGGCGCTTGTGTGGGAGGCCGTGGAGTGGGGAGAGGAGCCGGAGCGTCCGCGGTGGAGAGCGAGCGTGGGGCGAGAAGCTCGGGCTGGGACGAGGCGGCCCGCGAAGGTGGCTGGGTGCCCCAGGGAAGGGAGAGGGGTAGTAGCAGGGAGGCGGGTTAGGTGCGGGAACGTGGGCTAGAGCAGGAATTTGGGGGAGGTGTGTGTTGGGAAGGGTGTTTGAGTAAAATTGGGGGTGGTGGACACTGGCTCTTTGATCTTCCTTGTTATCACTTAGGCATGTTGATGCCTTAATTGCCTTCAGCAGAGGCTCCAAGACACTGTTGCTAGTGCTGTCGAGCTGAGGTGATCTCAGGACATTTGGTCTCTAGATGGCAAAGCAGAGCGCCCGTACAGCTTTAGGGGTACTCACTGGAGTGAGTGGACCTTCAGCTGTTACTCTTCGAGAACTTACTAATAGTGACGCATCGAACAAAAATAAAACTTTATTGATTTCATTTATCATAGTTTCTAAGGTGTTCGTAAAAATCGTGCGAATCTTCCAAAAAGCCATTTTTGAAATATGGTGAAATTTCAAAGTTTTGATTATGTTCTTCGTATGTAAGAACTTTTTGAAGCATAAAGACAAAGACTGGGAGATGCTCCTGTGCTGTTCTGCCCCTAGAACATTTTAAATAACACCGAATGAAAAGGTAAAAGCATTCTTTCACTCAGGAGTATTTTCAGAGCAGTCTAATTGTGATTTCATACATAGTCCATATGGTACTTTTCAAAGTAATGTCTCTAAAAAGGAAAAACTCTGCCCTCTCACTCAATTGGTATCTGTTCTATTCCGAAGTAGTTTTTAACTTTCTTTTGGAAGTTCAGAATATATTTAGAAAAGAAAAGAAAATATAAAGTTCAAGTGCCAGGACACTATTTTGGGAGGTAGGATGGTAGTTTTGAAGTATGGTTTCCCTTTAAAGGCTGTCTGAATATAATTGTATTCAGTAAAGTAATTTTTAAAAGCTAATTTAATTTAAAAGATAGCTAATATTTGTCTTATTTGGAGATACACACTTCTGGCTTTTACATGAAAAACTTGGAAACTTCATATGAAATACAGAATGTTGAGTAAAGTTTGCTTTTACTGAAATACGAATTTTAGTGCTTTTTTTTTTTTTTTTTGTGGTACTAAGAGTAAACTCAGGACCTCCCACTAGCAGGCAGGTGCTGTGCCACTGACCTATATCACCCGTAAGAATTTACCATTTTATTAAATATAACTTTGCTTATCTTTATTTAATTTAGGTATTACAAATGTTTGTTGATCTGAATCTTTGTCATATGTTTTGGTTTTTTGACTCTTAAAATCAGGAAATGTAGTGGAAAAGCACTCTGGAGTTACTAAATTAGTTGAACAGGTTGTACAGCTGGTTCCCACAGTGTAAAACTTGATAGAATAGATAAAATCCAATAGTCTTTCTAATTTTGAAAGTCACCTTATGATGGAATATTCAGTGTTTGGTGTTAAAGAATCTACATTTACCACATACCCCGCTCCATACTGTCTTAACTCTTGTCGCAAAGTGGGCATGGTGGCACTCAGGAGGTGGAGGCAGGAGAATTGTTATGAGCTCAAGACAAGCTTGGGCTACAAAGCAAGCCCAACACCAGTCTGAACTGCATAGTGAGACCCTAGCTCAAAAAGACCAAACAAAAAAAGAAGGTAGCAGTATCTCCACTTTATTGATGAATAACTTGAATAAATAGAAAACTTAAGTTGCTCAGTTCATAGCTAGCAGGTTGCAGAGTTGGGATGCTAATTGAAGTCTGCCTTCAAAGCCCATGCATGTTGCTTCTCCCAAGTTACTTGCTGCTGCTGAAGGAACCTTTAGATTTCTGTCACACTTTTGTTCACTGAAATTTAGTTCCAAATGTTCTTTGGATGGGTCCTCCTAGTATAATAATTAAATGATTCAAGGAAGGTACCAATGCCAAAACTTTACAGTTCTTACAGAGAATTTGCTTTATTATACTCTAGAGCAGCCCGGGAGATGGCTCAGTGGAATAAGCACTTCCCTGGCAAGCCCAAGGACCTGAGTTTAATCCCTGGATCCACCAAAAAAAATCACAAAAAAACCCAAGCTTTATACTGTAGAGCAGATTTTGTCTTCATTTGTACGTGACTTCTGCAGTTTATTAATATAGTAACTACTTAATTTTTTTGAATAAATGAATATAGTGTCATGAAAATTTGGGACTCCAGTGTGCTAATTATCTTTTATGAATGTCAGATAACAAGTAAATTGATTAATGTTTTAAGAACTTATATAATTTTATGGGGGGCTGTGGAGATGGCTCAGTAGAATAAGTGCTTCCCTGCAAGCACAAGGGCCTGAGTTTGATCCCTGGTTCTGTCAAAAAAAAAAAAAAAAAAATACAGTTTTAATTAAAATTTTTGTTTGAAACTGTAGTTTCTTATAACCCTAAAATACTAATTTTGTACTTTTGATGCTTCACATCAGAAATTACAAATTCTGTATGAATACTATTTTTTTTTTTGTACATGACTAACATTCCTAAGTAAGATTGTTACAACCTTAGATATTGTATTGTCTCCATTCATGTTGGCCAGAATCTGCCAAAAAGTTAAAAATGTTATGTAAATCTGGCTAACCATTATTAGGGACTCTTTCCAGTTTTTAAACTCACAGTCTTATGATTTGTCATAGTCAATGTCTACTATCAAGTCTTACATTTTGTAATTTGGTATTCAGGGTTCTTAACTTTCGTTAAGACAGTGGTTCATATTCCATTTCTTCCCAGCTTTGCAGGCTTGGTCTAGTTACTTGGTCAAGTTTCAGTTTACTCATTTATAAAACAGGAAACAGTATCCACTTTATAAAAATTAAATAAGATTAAGTGAGATAATGTACTTAAAATGTTTAATATGGTGAGTAGCTATTAATATACTTTAAATTTTTTACTTATTTTTAGGATGTGATCTTTTTAAAGATAAGTATTTAATTACAAATGGCCTAAGAATTAGTAATCCTACTTCTGGATAATATAATGCTAATCTGGTCTTCACACATATAAGTAAATAGTTTTACTTTTTCATGTTTTAACAATTTTTGAGTAAGAGTAATAGCCATTATTTGTGTGGTGTTCTACCATTTGGGTTAACAAAATCTTTGGGTGTCAGAATACCCAATTGCATAGAACATGG